TTATTAGATATGTTATTATAAAACATGTTTTAGTTAAGGAGTTATTGATACTTCAAGTGCAAAATGATGATATAAAACCTTGATAAAAATACACTTTTAAGTACTAATCATTGTCTCCTACTTAACTTACATTGACCCTTCAAATATTTCAATGATTGGTGATCAGTATATATGACAAACTCTCGAGGCCACAGATAATGTTATCAAGTCTCAAAAGCCTGCACTACTGCATACAACTCTTTATCATAAATGGGATAGTTAAGAGTTGCACCATTGAGTTTCTTACTAAAATAAGTGATGGACCATTTTTTTTACATTAAAATAGCTCCAATACCTATTCTTGAAGCATCACATTCAATCTTAAAAGCTTTATTAAAATTAGGCAAAGATAGTAAAGGTGCCGAAATCAACTTTGATTTTAATAAGCTAAAAGCATTTTCTTGTTCTTCTCCCCACTTGACACCTACAGTTTTCTTAATAATTTCAGTCAATGGAGAGGCTATCGTACTAAAGTCTTTAACAAATCTCCTATAAACACTAGCCAAACCATGAAAACTCCTATCTATTATGGATTTTGGTGGAGGTCATTCTTGAATAGCCTTGACCTTAGCCTCATCCATTTCTATACTTTTTGCACTAACCACATATCTAAGAAAAACAATCATATCCATGTAAAAGTCACACCTTTTCAAATTAGTACATAAGGACTCTTTTCTAAGCACATCAAGAGCTTGTCTCAAATAACTTGTATGCTTATTAATCTCCTTACTATAAATCAAGATATCATTAAAGCAAATGACTACAAACTTACCAATAAAAGCACACAACACATGATTCATCAATCTTATTAAAGTACTATGTGCATTAATAAGTCCAAAAGGCATAACCAACCACTCGTACAAACCATACTTAGTTTTAAAATAGTTTTCCATTGATCCCCTTCTTTTATCCTAATTTGATGATAACCACTTTTCAAATCAATTTTTAAAAATAATTTAGAACCATGTAATTCATCCAACATATCATTTAATCTAGGAAAGGGATGTTGATAATTTACAGTGATGTTATTGATAGCTTGACAATCCACACACATTCGCCAAGTTTTATCCTTTTTTGGAACAAGAAGCACGGGAACTACATGAGGACTCATGCTCTCTCGAATGTATCCTTTCGACATCAACTCCCCCACTTGCCTTTGAAGTTCCTTAGTCTCTTCAAGATTGCTCCTATAAGCCGGCCTATTTGGTATAGATGCTCCTGGAACAAAGTCAATTTGATACTCAATACCTTTAAGTGGTGGCAAACTACTAGGAATGTCATCTAGAAATACATCCTCAAATTCATGCAAAAGAACTTTAACAACACTAGGAACATAAGAATCTAAATCATCTAAGTTAAAGAATGCCTCCTTATATACAAGTAAAATCACAGGCAAGTCAGAAAGATAGGCATGTTTAAGATCATTAGATTTACAAAAAAGTTAAGGTGTTTCCCCACTTTTTCTACACACCCTTTTTTTCTCACCCTTTTTTTATTCTCTCCACTCATTTTCTCTCCACTCTCAGCCTTCATTTCATTTTTTTTGTTCTTGGTTATGAACCTCCCCTAATGTCTTAAAGGTCAAAACTTTGTTCCTTTTGTTTTCAACTCATGACTCACTTTTTTTTTCTCTCTTCCTCACATCCTCACCATATTGTTCAACTTGTTTTTCCATTTTGGCCGAATCCTTTTGTTCCTCCACTTTTGCCGAAACATGTTACTCTTCCTCATAGCCTTTCTTCAATTGAATTTGATCTTCATACACTTGCTTTGGTGAGACTAGGGCAATTGTATAAATCCTTTCATCCTTTTCTAATGAATACCTATTTTTAAACCCATCATGTTTGGCTTTTCTATCAAATTGCCAAGGCCTCCCTAGTAACAGATGAGTAGCATACATAGACATAACATCATATAACACTTCATCCTTATATTTGCCTACTGAAAAAGAAATCATCACCTGTCTATTCACCCTTACAACACCACATTCATTCAACTATTGAAGTTGATAAAGTCTCTCATGATTTATGGTATTCAATCCCAACTTTCTAACTAAAGTAACACTAGCAATATTAGTGCAACTACCACTATCAATGATCATTCTATATACCTTATTGTTGATTAGGCATCTAGTATGGAAGATGTTCTCCCTTTGTTGCTCCATATCATCCTCTTTAGTCTGAACACTAAGCAACCTTCTAATCACCAAAACTTTATCACCAACAGTATACTCTAAATCACTGGCATCCTTAAGTGGGGGCATGTCATCATAATCAGACTCCTCACTAGTGGACACAATCTATCCATCATCCCTTAGAATCCTAACTCGTTGATTTTCACATTCTTATGCATAGTGTCCTAATCCTTAACACTTGAAACACTTTATATCATAATTACACATCAGTTGAACTTCTCCCTTAAGTTTTTTTATCATTGGCGAAACCTGCTTCTTCATGGAAGTAAGTTCGACAACTTTAGAAGTCACCAAAGCCTTCAATGACGCACTACCCTCTCTTGTATAATTCATGTTCCAACCCAAAGAAGACCTTGTATAAGCTCCAGATCTTGTATTACCCTTCCTTTTCAACTGTCTTTCAACCTTAATGGTTAAGTGTACTAACTCCTCCAAATCAACATATGATTGCAACTCCACAACATTAGTTATGCCTCTATTTAAGCCATTCAAAAAGCTAGACATAGTAACTTTCTCGTCTTCATTAACATTAGCTCTAATCATAGACACCTCTGATTCTTTTTGATACTTCTCTATACTCTTATTACCCTGTGTAATCATTTGTAAACGATTAAATAACTCCCTATAATAATGTTTAGGAACATACCTCTTCTTCATTATTGTCTTCAACTCCTCCCATGTACTAACTGGTCTTTCTCTATTCCTTCTTCTTTCTACCACCAAACCATGGCATAATCAGTAAACTCTACTATAGCTAACTTAACCTTCTTTTCTTCAGAGTACCTATAGATGTCAAAAATCATCTTCATCTTGTTTTCCTAATATAAATAAGGGATCAGTTTTTCCCTTAAAGGCTGAGATTTTTAACTTAATACTACCCAAATTTCAATTTATATCTCCCAAATCATCAAAATCCCCTTTATGCTCAAAATCCCTATGTGGCCGAATATGTCCCCTCTTTGACCGATTCTCATACCTCTCTCCTCTATATGTACGGAACTCACCACCATGATTAAGATCATCCTCGGCTTCTTCTACAGAGTTTCCAACAACACTTTTCTCCTTCCTAGCTTCTATACCCCTTTTACTACGCCCTCTATTAGACCTAGTTTCTAATTTTTCAATCCTAGTCATCAACTTACCAAACATAAATTTCATCTATTATTGTATTCCTAAAAGCCCATCTTCTTGGATTTCATCCTTCTTCTATGGCACACTGTTAGAAGATATTATTTTAATTTTTTTAAACTTGCATGAAAATCATTAGTGATAAAAATAACACCTCACACACTCGTGTTTCATGCAAATTTATAGGCTTTTCACTTGAATATGCTCTGTAACAACCCGACTTTTCAAGCCCCAAAACAACAGATTTTTTTTTTCTTTGACACACATCGTGTCGGTAAATTACGAACCTATTTTCCTCACATCATCAAAATGCAATCCATACATCAACTACATTTAACATTTCATTTAAAAGGGAAATTTACATAAACACATAATATTATTTTTGCATGCTTAGAAGTTCATATTATAATA